CGGCAGAGGCAGAAACAATCATGGCTGTCCCGAGATTGCTGCTGGGGGTGGGTGGTGGGACACGAAGTTACGTGGGGGCAGTGTGCTTCAGGCAGAGGACAAACATCTGGACCCGGGCAGAAGCTCAGCCAGGCAGGAAGCTGCTGCCCCTGGCCTTGGTGGTGCTGGGCACAGGCTGTGGGCAACTGCTCATCCAAAGGATGGAGCCTAAGGGAAGGGCAAAGAGCCGTCTCTGCTCAGGCTCCTTGTTCCTGAGGAAACCCAGCACACACACACACACACACACACATGCACGCGCGCATGTGCATTTTTATTTTTAAAGATTGGTATTCATACTCAATCCAATCTCACCACCACCATCGAGTGGACTCCGATACACAGCGACCTTATAGAGCAGAGTAGAACTGCCCTTTTGGGTTTCCGACGTTGTCTGTCATTATGGGAGCAGAAAGCCTCATCTTGCTCCTTTGGAGCAGGTAGTGGTTTTGAACTGTTGACCTTGCAATTAGCAGCTCAAAGCATAACCCACTATGCCACTAAGACCTTACTAAAATTCAAAATTCACTTCCATGCAGTCAATTCTGACTCATGGTGACCCTATGGGACAGTAGAATTGCCCCTGTGGATATCTAAAACTGTAACGCTTTACTGGAATACAAAGCCTCATTTTTTTCCCCCAGAGAAGTTGGTGGTTTTGAACCGCAGACTTTGCACTATGCAGCCCAACACATAAACTGCTATGCCACCAGGGCTTGCTAACAGGGCCTCAGAAAGTTCATGGGACAGTGGAATTTGACACAACAAGAATATGAACTTGGAAATAGTTCAAAATGCTCTCTGTTAAAATCTCACTGCCATCAAGTAAATTCTGATTCATAGTTACTCTACTCTACATGGCAGGGTAGAACTGCAGCCATCAGTTTCTGAGACTGTAACTCTTTACAGAAGTGGGAAAAAAAACCTCTTTTTTAACTTTTAAAATGCTTACTTGGGAAAAATAGAAATATGTGGGTTCAACTGTATAGACGAAGGGGGAGTCAAACAGTTCCCGGGAAAACAGAATGAAAAGACCATGGGAACTTTTTCCAGGCTCCTTCGTGTAATGTCTGTAAGTTGCACATCCCGATGAGCCCTGGTGGTGCACTGATTAAGCTTTTAGCTGCCAATCAAAAGGTTGCCAGTGGAACCCAAGTCAAACCCAGACCTGCTGTTGCTGAGTTGAGCCCAGCTCACATGGCACCTCTCGGAGGGCAAGCTCAGATACAGTCTCCTCCTGGTCCCACAGGGTGGCTGTGAGTTCTAACGTCAACCCTTTCATCGGTGCTTTGCCTCACTGCCACCCAGGCGCCTTCCACAGCTGGCTGGCTAGACATCCCTGAGGGGTGCCTCTGCTCTGGGGACAGTAACTCAGGGGCACTCACTACCAACATGTCCACTCTCAGGGCTGGCAGTCCACGCCTGCTCCTTAGGGTTGCACATCTAAGTAAATGCCTATTCGTGGAAAAGTGGGCCAGATTAAAGCAAAGCAATAAGGTAACAAATTTAGGGGGTTTTTTGTTTTTAAAGATAGGTGTTTATTTTCATTGAACATACGCTGCTCTTTGAAAATACCTATCTTTTAAATTAAAAATGGATGAGTATGTGTGCGCATTTGTGTATGTGTGTTTGTAGATCTCTGAACTCAAAAATCCAAAGTCATGGCTATAAGTCGATTCTGACTCTCAGTGACCCTCTAGGACAGCGTAAACCTGGCCCCGTGGGTTTCTGAGACACTCAATCTGTGGGAGCAGAAAGCTTGATCTTTCTCCCTCAGAGGGGCTAGGGGGTTCAAATTGCTATTCTTATGTTTAGCAGCCCAGTGTGTTGTGTAGCCCACTACACCACCAGGATATAGAGATCCCAGACCTGGTGGTGTCGTGGGTATGACAGCAAGGCCAGTAGTTCAATACCACCAGCTACTCTGAGGGAGAAAAGCAAGCTTTCAACTCCTGTTAAGAGCTACAGTCTCAGAAATCCACAGGGGCGGTTCTACCCTGCCTTATAGCATCACCATAAGTTGTGAGTTTGAGTTCAGCTACTGTCCATGTAGTGGAGGTGTGTGTGTGTGTGTGTGTGTGTGTGTGTGTGTGTGTGTGTGTGTGGTGTGTGTAGGCAGTGTGAGTCTTGTGTTACTCTGATGCTGAGCAAATTTCAGTGGAGCTTCCAGACTAAGACAGGCCAGGAAGAAATAACTGGCGATCTATTTCTCAAACTCAGCCAGTGGAGACCCTGTGGGTCCCAGCCATGTGACCTCTAACCCACCTTGGAGATAACCGGGACCAGACAGGATCATTCAGATCGGCCAAGAGCAGCACGCGAGGGACAAGCTCTTCAGCACATGCTCTGTGTTCCTGGCAGCATCCTGGGAAATCAGTTCCCACGGCCGAGGTTTGCTGAGCCTGGGAGAAGAGGTTTCTCTGTGCAGAGCCTGGGGTCTGAGTTCATGTGATCTGACCAAAGAGTGCAAAGCTTAAGCCATGGGTGGGCTTGAGAAGAACTCATT